AAACAGCCTGAAAGTGCCGCTTGCAACACAGTATTCAGCAACTACACACCCCGCTGTGTGTGTGTGTGTGTGTGTGTGTGTGTTGTACACAACTAAGACACCTGCACTGTGGCCTGCAGGCGGATTATCGCTCCATTATTCATCAAACAGGTGACCTCACTGCACTCGTGTTTCGAGCTTTAGAACCAGGAGAACCGAAGTGTGACGCCTCGGGGTGGAGGCCTGAAAGGAGCCGGTGGGGGAGGCGGCCCACGGAGGGGAGGAGCCAGCGGCGGCGAGGAAGACGTGACGCTCCACGGTGTACAAAGCAACGAGTGAGAAACGCGTGGTGGCGCTCAGGCTCCCGTCGTCCTTTTTTGTCCTGCAAAGAAACACAGACTTTGCTTCACGAAGCCGCGGACGCAGGTGACTTCTTGTTGTTGATCGTGGTCACGCGGGACGTCCACGCCCACGAGTCGCCCTCTAAATACCAACGCTCCATGTGGCGTTGCGGGTCAGTGGTCGTTTAAATAAAGAGGACGCATCAGTCGGATTCAGGCCTGATGAATCAAACCGAGCGGACGTTTCGGTCGATGAAGACGCGTCTCAGCGGCGCTTTGGCGGAATCTTTGAGAAAATTCTCGTTTCGAAGGGTTATTTTCAATTTGTTTCATTGCAGCAGAATTCAATTTAGCAAACTGGGCAGCGGCCGTTCACTTGGAGATAGTGATGAATAATTGACTTTTGAACCTGGAAATCAAAGGACTAATTAATCCAACAAATCATCTGAAGAGGAGACGCTTCCTGGAGCTCCTCATCTAATGAAGTGGCTCCCTCACTTTTCTGTTTGTCGCATATCAGCCCTGAAATTACGTTTTCTGCTGCTCCATTTCTTCATGCTTACAGCTACAATCACCCCCCCACCCCCCCAATTCAATCAATTTCAGTGTGCCAGTTGTGCAAAATGACTTCTAGGACACATTCCAAGTCCCCATTATCAAGGGGAACAACACGGTCGCGTTTATGCTCGGCGGCACAACTGGCAGCGCCTCAACATCTGCTGTTGCTACGTGATAGTAAGCGTTCCATTAAGTCGCCTCGGCGGTGACTGACACTTTTTGGATTTTGATTGCACAACGTGGCAGATTGTCACGCCATTAAACGGTACGAATGCCGTTAACAGGCCTTGCAGATTGAACCAGCCAACGGGTCCGTGCGGTTGTGATGTTCTACTTTCGGAGTTGTGTACATTCCAAACGGGTCCTCGTCCGTTTCCACTTGAGGTGTTTGTGATTGACATCAGCCGACGGGAAGCCTTTCAGATGGAGGTTGGATGCAGGTTTCTTTCACATACACACACACACGCAGTATTTACTGAGGTAATAAATACATCTTCTCATTGTTTATACGATGGCGCTTATTCCTGCACCTGCAGGAGTCGCCCCCTGCTGGCTAGCGAAGAAGCAGCAGGTTGGGGATCGCCGCCTTAGCTCAGCGCGTCAGCGTGCATTGGACGGATTAAAGCGGTCGCCTGATGACGGCCGTCGTCCTCGTCACCATCGACGTGATTGCAATTGATCCTCTTGAGACCTTGAATGTGAAAAACGTCATGTCCCTCCGCTGAAGAGCTGCTGAGATGAATTCAGAACAAAGTGTTGCATTGCGGTTGTAAAATACACTCCTGCAGCATGATATATGTATTCATAGAATACTCTAAATGTAAATGCACATGTTAATTGTGATTGACACGTAAATTTATTGCACAGGTAGAAACCCCGCGACCGACATCGTGCTCCCCGTGGCATTTCCCCCATTAATCCATGAGTCGGGATGTGCTTCCGTGGACGCAAACAGTCCCAACTTTGACATTTCGCTCTGTTCTGAAGGATTAGATAAGAGCTGCGGTCTCTTTGTATCAGTGTCACGGGGACGGAAACAAAACATCGTGTAGATCGACGGCCCGCTGGCACGGAAGTAATTGGCGCGATCCCCGTTTTCAGCTGCTTCTACATATAAAGCTTCGTTACTGCGCCACGAACAGGACGCCGGGTCGCATTCAGCCGGGCCTCCGTCCTCCGTTCACCGCGGCGGCCCGTTTGTCGTCATGGTGAACCGCAGCGTCGCCGCGCTTAACGCCGCTTCCCGTCCCCGCCGCCTCCGTCTCCCCTTCCCGCCTTTAATTCGCCGCGGCGGGAAACGTCGCGTGGCGCACGTGGCCCCCTCCAACAGCAACCGAACGGCGCTCCGACGAGCAGCGGCGGCTCACCAGATGTGTGTGTGTGTGTGTTTTGTTGTTGTTTATTTTTGTTGCCACAGAAGAGCTGACGGAGAGCTGAGCACGGTGCACGTTGTGTCCCCGGCGTGCGTCGTGCTGCACGTATCCTGCCCTGAATATATCTGGTGTGTGTGTGTGTGTGTGTGTGTGTGTGTGTGAGACCGGGCTCTGCAGGGGTGTGAGGCAAGAAGCAGCAAGAGGCAGAAAATCCCCGCTGCCTTTGGATTAGTGTCAGCGAGCAGGAAGCCGGCAGCGCGCCGCGCGTGCACGCTCCTGAAGTCACTGCGCGCGGTTATTTCAGCGGTTTCATGTCATTCCTCGGCCCCGGGTTTTGGAAATGAAGCCTTCTTATTTAGTCTCCGCTTTTTGCATATGGCCTGGAAAATGCAAGTTTTCCACTCACGATTAGTGGAAAATAAAAGAAATCTTCAAATCTTTGATCATATTACTAATTGCTGTAAAATGACCGTCATTTGTGTACGTTGCACAGACACACATTTGCCGCGGTTCAAACTTCGAATGTGTAACGATCCGCTAATCCTGCAAAACCTGCATGGGGCAAAAAAAAACTGCAAACATCCCGCTGCTGCCTCCTCGTTCTCCAACACACACACACACACCGGCATGATGGACGTCTTTAATCTTCCAATGAGGACAGTCAAAGTCGTGTCTGGGGGGGGGGGACGCTGTCCTGCTGTTTCTCTCTTTTGAGGGAGAATGAGCGCGTGATTCCCCCCCCCGAGAGGCTCTCGATGGCGCCACGGCGATGACTTAGTGACGATCAGGAGGAGGTTTAAAACCAGGAGGTTCTCCAGGTGTATTATTGTGGTGGTAAAGTGTTTACGGCCTCAGTCTCCATTGAGCTGTGGATGTTGGAGAGACCTGGCGGAGAGTTCTGCGGCGCAGAGGTCCTCCGCCAACACCTGGGCGGCCGCCCTTCTTCACTGGCATCACGCCCGGCTGCGGTTATTTATAGCCGCAATATTGGCATTCATTTATCGCTCCCGCGCCATTGTGGCCAGTGCCACGTCGCACCATCCGCTGCGTTTGATGTCAGGGAGCTGCCGGATTCACGAGGCCTCGGGCCCTGCGAGGAGCATAATGTCACGTGACACCTGCCACTTCCTTAAGAGGAGGACTTACCTTCAGTGAGCGACTGAGACAAGCCGCGAGCTTCACTCTGTTTATTCCGCCCCCAAGTCTCTTCTGTTGAAAATGGGCTTAAAGAGACAGTAAAAGGGAGCGGAATACGAAAACCAAAAACCCAAATATGAACCAAAAGACGTGCCCGATCTTTAAGAACCAGAGTCCTTGTGTTTGTTCCAGGGTGAGTCGAGCCGCTCGGAGTTATTCACTGCTATCAGCCCCCTGCAGTTGTGTTGATATCACTTGGAGCTTCGGGGCTGTGAGTGTAACGTCACACCTGCAGGTTCTGTCTCTTCCCGTCTCAGCCGGACGCTTTTCTCTGCAGGGTTTTTTTTTTCCTCCAACCTGAAGTAAAAAAAAACGGCTCCTCCACTGTGACTTCCGGGCGGCGGATGTTTTTTTCGTAGATCCGAACGGGGTTTCGACTCGGCGCTCTCGGCTTCGCCCGGAGGAGAGGCGGCGGCGCCCCCCGAGGTGACGGAGGCGTGAGATGAATGGAGGCTCTGCGCGCGACACAAAGAGAGGGAGCTACAGCGCCGGAAATCATGGAGGGGATTGTCTGGTTTCAATGGAGGGATTTCCCTCTGCTTCCCCCCAGTCCTCTCCTTCACGTTCCAGTAGCTCCCAGAAGCTATTAGACAAGAGCCTTCGAGGTTTGGGAACGTCCATCTTTGACCGCGAGAGGCACGGTTCCTTTATCCCAGGAACTGCCCCTGAGATTGGGGTCGACTTCCTATCGTTTGGGGTCTTTCGTGTGTTTCGGGGGGAGACCTGCATGCATTTTTCTTACGGTTCTCGCGACTCTCAGACCTCCACCTTTCCTTCAGTAAACTCATCCCAGACTTGACCTGTATTTGGCTGCATCATTTTGTTTTTGCACGTTGAACTAAATCCACGTGGCGGTGGATTCTGCGTTGACCCAAAGTATTCGTCTCTGGTGAATTCCCCTTCAGTCAACGCAGCCGCCTCACGCTGTCTTTATTTGCCTTCCTCTTGTTATTACAGGTACATGGCGTCGTATTGTAAACAAGCAGCGGTTTATCCTTAATAAGGGAATCAGATATGAGGAGAAAACACGGCGTGTGCGCCGTCGCAGTAATTGCGCTGCGTCCGCTGCAGCTCTGATTGCATTCAGCACGTTTCCAACTCCAGGGAGACTTTGTGTGGAGATCCTCGAATTATCGGCGTGGAGAATTACGCCACAGCTGCTCCGTTTAAAAGAGGACGCTCGCATCTAATAGTCCGCATCTTAACAAGCACAACGTGACGTTATTTGCTCCTCGGCGGGGGGGGGGGGAGGAAGAGGGGCAGGGAGCCGGAATAATGTGAACGCTTTGCGGAGGAGGAATTTTGATGTGGCCTACATCGGCGTTGCAAACCCGGCCAGCGGAGGTCCATAGATGGACGTGACGAAGGGAAATATGAATGTATGAAAGCGTGTGAAAGTACGGTGGTGTTTTTACTGTGTATACGACCCCCCCAGGGGTCACGATGGGAGTGGCCATCATGACCCCTGAGGATTATCTTAAGGCCCGATCTGCCATTTTCTCAAGAATGATGAGAGATTTACATCCGTTTCCTGTTTCTTTCTCTGCTGCAGCGCTTCCTGTTACGGGGGAGAAGGAGTACCGACCGCCTCCGTCCCCCCCCACCCGAGCCGCCTCCACCCACGATGCCCCCGCTTCCCCCCCACTGCAACCTCATCTCTGGAAATCGCAGAGAGCAAAGTACAACATTGTGACTGGTTCACCTCCAAGCACGAGCTGGGACTGAAAAAACTAAGGAAAGTGAAGCACCGAGGAGCAGACCGGACCACTCGGAACCCCCGGGGGGGGGGCGGGGAGACCGGTGTTGCGAACGAGTAAGTCGTGGCCCAAAATGATTGCCTTAATTACTACGCATACGCTGATGTACCAAGTGATGAAACTAAGAGACTTATAGTTCAGACGTGTTTTCTTTACATGTGAAAAAATAAGTGTCTTGTGAGGAGCAGACGTGGATATTTTAATATGATAGAAATAACGTTTTGGTTGTAACGTCGACATAATGTTTTAGTTGGGTCGGCTTCGTAGTTGTCGTCGGTCACTAAATGGTGAGTTCGCCCTCTGCTCGTCAGCAGTACGACTTTATCTATTTTTTATCTCGTTTCATATCGTCAACCAAACGACGAGTTGGAGCCGACTCGCTCTCTCGAAAACGCCGGTGAGAAACTCTTTGATTCACACGGCGTCACAACACACGAAAACCCTCATTCAGCACGAGCACAGAGGGCCGGGAGACGAGACATCCATCCTGATATCGATGTATCCTCATATACATACATATATATATATATATATATATATATGTATACCTGGGACTGGCGTGGCTCAATGCGACGCGCTGAAATACATCAGAAGAATATCCTCTTACATTAAGATCCACTTACACAGAAGCAAAGATGTCAGGCACATTAAGACCATGGTAAATATCTGCCACACTCACTTTCTACCCGAAAAGCAGCGGGTGGAACTCGCCGGGCTTTTTAACCGTCAAGATGAAATACCTTTAGGTTTCTTTTCTCAGATGCAAATTTAGAGCTGACCAGCTGCTTTGTTGATATGTTTTCACTTTAACTGTATGCAAAAGTAACATGGACGTGTGTTATATATTTTTTTAAAACCTAGCCTTGATAATTACATAACCAAAGGTGAAACCCTGAATTTATTGTATGTTGTGGACTTCTGGAAAATGTTGTGATAGACGCACACTGAATAGGAAAAGAAATGTAAATAGCCGACATTTATACTCGTGTGTCCTACGATGTGTTGCAGATAAGAGTCATTTGAGACTTTATACTTTCTTTGACTGTTATGACCATCGACCATTGTCATCTCTGTCCTCGCTGACACGGCCGTGTTGTTGTGAGTGCTGCATTTTGGCGGGTTTCTCTCTTCTTTTTTTCATTCGGCTCATCAATGGAAGGATTAGAAGTTGCCGGTAATTTAGCCTTCGGAAGTAGTAAATATCACGTATGTGGATGAACACAATGCTGTAATGGCACTGGATCTTCTGTCTTTTGCCTCCTTCTAAAAAAAAAAATCCAAATTCATTTAGCTTTTTTGTCCAAAAATTATTACCTCAATACTGGAATCCCTCAGAAACTAACTACTGAACTAAACACAAAATAACCACAACCGAATCAAATAGATGTCGACAGTTTACTTGGGAAATCCTTATAGGGAGGCGGTTTTTATCCTCAAGGAGTAGATAGAAATGACGTTTTTCATTTCATTTCACAAGGAGAATACCAGAATACGCCGTTGGTCCAAAACAATAAATGTACGAGAGAATGAATCCAAATTGAATGACAGTGGATTATAATATCACTTATATTTTCTAACCTTTCACACAGAGTGCAGGCTAGCTGCCCCCCTCTCCCACTTCCGGGCCTGTATGCTAAGCTAAGCTAATAAGCTCCGGCTGTGCACACGCATTTACTGTACTGACATGAGGGCGTGCGCGGTGTCTTTTAAGGCCGAGAACCAGCGCGTTTACCAAGATGCAGAATTCGTCCGTTCAGAAAGGTCCAGCGTTTGTGCTCCTGCGCCCTCTAGTGGTCAAGCTGCAGATGGCGACCAACGGAAGAACCCCCCCGTTAACGTGAAGAAGCAAAGCCCCCCGCCCCCCCCCAGGAAGTGTTCGGGTGGTCTGTTCTGGGTTACCGTGGAAACATGGGCGAGCAACATGGCCGACTCGTTAGAAAGAGTCGAGTGCAATGTTGTGTCATCAAATTCATCAACATTCATTACATTTTAAATACTTTTTTGATATTTCGTTCGTCCACCGCCTGACAAAATGTGGCCGATTGGTAAAACACAGAATTTATTCATTCAAGTTAGATTAAAAATAATTCTAATTAAGGACAAATTAAAACAGATTGTGAACAAAAAATAAAAGACATTTTGTGCAGCCTCATTGCAGGGTGATTATAAACTGAAAACCTATTAAATAAATTAAAAAGGCCAACCCTAAATCCTACTCGCTGGGCGTTTTGAGAGTTAATTAAAATTATAATACAACCAAACATACAGCGGTCTCGTAGATGTATATTAACAGAAGTGATTTGACTCTAATCTTGTCAGATTACAAACCTCAAGCACAAACTGTCCCAGAACCCGAGGGGCCCGGAGACCGGGTTCTGACCTGGAGTTCATTTAGGAACAGAGAGTCGGGCGGGGGGGGGGGCTGAGCCGCGGCTTCCTTAAGGTCCGACATGCACGAGGGGCTGATGCGACCAACCAAATGCCAACGCTGACCGGAAGATCTGCGCTGCGCACACTCGGAATGAATTTAGGAAAGGGGGGCCTGGCGCAGGGGCAAATTGATGTGTAGTGATACGTTCGGTTTGTGTTATCGCGAAGCTGCACACGAGACATTAAGCCAAAGAGTAATACATGCCCACAGGTTTCTGGATGGGGGGGGGGGGACGAGAACAGGATCAGACTGATTAATCCTCCGGGCAGCACATCCAATCGAGCAGAACAAACAGGCACCAAAAGAAGAGCGAGAGAGAATCTGTTTAACTGGCCGGGCCCTAACCCACTTCCTCAATCCCAGAATCAAAAATCATTTGTTTGGTCAGAGGATGCGATTAAGTCAAGTTCACTTAACACTGCTTTCATCGGGAGATCGGCAGGAGGAGGCCCGGAGGAGGCCGGCGTGCCGTGTGGTGACGGTCCACAGGGAGATTTTTAAGCAGATTGAAGAGTACACCACAAGTAATTCGTCCTCGTGTGCGCCGAACCTGACGAAAAAGGACGTAATCCGCATTTATCCACACGGGTACTTCTCGAGAGGTCGTCCGGTTGATGTGAGTGGAAAGGGATTAGTAGGAAAATATCCAACGCAAGAAGACAAAACATCAAATCAAATTCTCCTGCCAAGGCGGTTAATGACCTCCGTCAGACGCCGTCGTGATTCAGCCAATGAGCCGCCGGCAGCTCAACGTATACGCGATTCTAAAAAACGATCCCCTCGGCATGAAGAGTAACTTCACTGTCACGGGACGAAGGTGTTCACGCTGTTTGAGCTCATGTGCATACCGGAGACTTAAATCCTCCGAGCTCTCCGCGCGGATGAACGCCGAAGGGTTCCTTCAGAAAAAAAAAACCCCGCCGACCTGAGATCTGGATCCGTGGAGAACAACAGCCCAGCGTGATTTAGTGCTTCATTTTACGTTTAAATATTTGATGCTGCTTTCGGTGTTGCCAGATTTTACACAAACCCTCCCGGGGTGCTGAGAAGGCAGCTTAGATTTGTAATTTTAATATCAGGCAAACCGTAAACGGAAATCGGGGCAATTAAACCATGAAAAAAGAAACTTTTAATAACAAGTATTTATCGCAAGTAAAGTAACTTAAAGTAGAAATTAGTGCTGATCGCAGATGTGTTGTGGTGAATTCCTAAAAAGTAGCACAGGAGCGAAAATGACCACACACGTCAATGTGTTAAACCAACGTAGCATTAAATTAGCGTTAGCAAGCTGGCTAACTAGCCGCTGGTTGGCTATTTTGCTCGTTGATTTCAGCGCGCTTCGACGCTCCACTGGTTTCTACGGTTGCCCTCATTTAGCAGTACAAAAGAAAAAAAGGTTATCAACTTATAAAATGTGTGGTTCCCTAGTTAAAATAAATCATTGCTGTAGTGTGTCAGACATGCGAGGAATTTGACTTGGCGGTTGGTGCGTAACAGCAGACCGTACGACAACGGACGACAAGACAACAGTGCACGAGGAATCAACAAAAAGATAATGCTACGGGTTAGCGGTATAGAAAATAAATAAATAGAAATGCATTTGTTTGTATTGACCCTCTGTTATCCGTCGCCACTGAACTACAATAGCAGCGCACACAGAGAAAACTGTGCAGACGGTAGAAAAAGTCTCCCCAAACATCCTAAGCTGCCCATTTGTTATCTGCCAAACTAGACGGAATCCGACTGCCGGCCCACCCTGACCGCCTCCGCTCGAAGCTGTCCGCGTGTGGCGATGTTGATACCAAACCAACTATTAACACATCTGAGCACGGCTTTTAATAAAAAAACCTTACCTTTTCATGTTTCTTCTCAGAAAAAAGACCTGGCTAAGCCCAATATCATTGCATACAGATACCACAGACACACACGTAAAAGAAAAGTGATGCATAATTCTGAGGATGTGACACCCACAGAGTTAAAAACCACCAGAAACCCCTTTTAAGTCCTATCGCCTCACAAACAAGGCGGCTTATGAGCAGCGGCGTACAAATGTCAAACAGTGACGCAGTTTGCGTTTGCTGCAAGATGTCACGTGACTGACTGACTGACTGACTGGATTTTGGGGGGGGTTTGTTTTGCACCAGCTGCCTCCTGCAGAACCGCGCGAAGGCCGCTTGGTGCGAACACACAATGACCACAGGGTTTGCCTGGTTCCCCCCTCGGACAGGAGACGGTCCAACCAGCACCGCGGAATCCTCGCGCGTTTTAAAAAAGTCTGCTCAGGTGACATGATGTCACCTTGGCAATGGTTAGAAGACGGCACATTCTTTCATGAGATTATGGTATTTATTCAACGATGACGGCTTAAACGTGACCCTAAATCTGACCTTTGTTACCTTCTCTGGCTCGGCGGTGCAGAGCACAATATGTTGTGTGTTAATCGCTGGACGGGAATTAGCGCCTTTGAATGGCGGCCGTCGTGTGATGAAACAAGCTGTCTGGATGCACCATTGGACTGAGGCACGTCAGGAGAAGGACAGTTGCAGCCCAGCAGAACATCCAGGACGCCGTGTAATCTCGTCACGCTGGGTGACGCGCCGCTACAGTCCAGGAGACGCACAAGCTCCTTTTTGGAAAGCACAGAACTTCAACGTCGGCTCCTGCGGCTGATCTCACGTCGCGCGTCGCTCTCCTCATCGGGGATCGTCGGCTCGTGCTCTTTTTGACATTTCGTTTCGTCGTCTCCGACCCGTCGATCCTCCCGGTCGCTCGATAGTGGTTTCTGGACCCCGGGGGGGGAATAAAAGAACAAAGTGCAGAAGACGAGGACGAAACACACAAACGATTAAAGCTTGCGAGTTTGACGGGACTCCATCCCATAATAATCAGGCGTCTATGCAAGCTGATATAATCCCAGTACGTCCCACGCGAGTCATTGTGAATCCCGCCAGCGCCCGTCTCACCTGCAGGGAGGCGAAGCCCCTCGGCCTCCGTCGTGACGTCACCGCTTGGCGGTTTGTGTGCGCTTGGTATTAAACGTGTTGCGGCGCGGCGGACGGTGACCATTGATGAACGTTTCTACGGTTTCAGGTGTCAGCAAGTGTCCATGTGAGTTTTTGACCATCCGCGCTTTGATTCTGCATGATGCTTTGTTTTGAGAAAAATGCATCCTGATCCTGAGGTATGTTTGTGCTCTCTCTCTCTCTCTCTCTCCCTCTCTCCCTCTCTCTCTCTCTCTCTCTCTCCCTTTTTCTTCTTTTATTTTATTTTTTGGTAATCCTTCCAAGTTCTGGATTTTCTACATTCATAACATTTTGTAGACAGCAATATGAGATGTGATTGAAAAATGGAATATGTGCAATGTTGATTAAAGAAAAATATAATATATTCAATAAAAATTCAGAAAAGAGAAACAGTGTTTCTAAGACGTGCTTCTTTGTGACGACTCGGATGCTGATTTGGAAACTCGGCGCCCGTTCGTGTCCGACACCGTTTGAATGTTTTAAAACGGGGGATCACTCGACACCGATGCGGTGAAGTTTCTCACGGCTTTTCTTGCGTGACCCCCCCTCCCCCTCCCCCCCGAAAGGTCGACTCCGGGGCTCTGGTCACGGAGAAGAAATAACTAGAGCGGCGATGAAGCTATTTATAGAGGCGCGCCCTTTACAGTTGTTACAGGCGCACGAGGTCCACGCTCCACCCTCGCGCCGAAGCCCTAAATGTTCACTGGGCGCGGCGGCGGCCCCGAAGGAGCGGCGGAGCGTGAGCGTTTAGCTCGATGCGGCGTGCCGTTTAGCTCTCATGGTCGTGCGCTCGCATGAACTATTGATGTGAACGGACGAGCTGGGCCGAGATGGCAGCAGAGCATTTGTTACCTGCCGGGGTTTTTTACAAATAAATGATATCATTTTTGTATTGACCGTGAATCCATTGCTTCACTTCATTGAATTCATCGCTGCAGTGATTTTCACTCCAGAAGCCAACCATCAAAAGACAAAGCTGCACAGACGCACGTTTTAGGGCCACAACAGGTGGCATCACAAATAAAAAAACAGGGAACGATGTTTCACTCTTTTATTAAACAAGGGCTTTTATTGTGAAAAGGGGTGACAGCGAAAGGAGTGGATCTGGGTCAAGGGTCAAAGGAGTACAACACTGTTTGCTGTCTTGGCGTCTGCCACTGTCATCCAGGGAAAAAGGACGCCGTTACCCTGACGACACCCGACAGGGGACAATGTCTCACGGAGTTTGGCGTCCGCCCGTTCCCCCCCCCCCGAGTGGGAAACCCGAGACGCCGGCCCCTGAAACCCGATCGCCCCGAATCCCAGGAGGAGGGGTCGGAAAAGGTTGCCGGACGCAGCGCTCTCCGGCGCCCGGGATGAGACGTCAGCGGGCCGTCTGCCAGACAGACGCGCGGCGACTCGGTGACCTCGCCGCGGGAACGTTTAGCAGCTTCTGCACTTGGATAACAGATCGAGCGGAGCCGACCTTGGACTTCCTCCCCCCCCCCCGGCGCTGTCCTTTCACTTCTTCATTTATTGGGTTTGACAGTCATCGTCGCTGGAGCGACGCGTCGTCCCGGGTGGATTAGTAGCATTTTACAGTCACGTTCATTTGTGTGCATGCAAACATATCACCATGTAAGCTCGCAATGTTTTTCACGTTGACGCCTAAAACATCAGGGATGCATTGTGGGCTGTTCACACTCTAAGTGGCTTTTAATACATCAGTAATGCAGCTAAATGACACCACCATAAAAACACTATGATAAATAAGCTGAATGATTCAAACTGTGTTTGAAACACGATAAAAGCGGTGCGACAGATGGAGCCGCGTGGAAGCCGACGATCAGGCGACGGTGAGCTTCTCGCTTCTTTGGGCGGGAACGAGCAGAGGTTGTCCGCGGGAGGCGATGCTGATCTGACGAGAGTGTGGTTTCAAACCTGACGCGCTTCACTCCTCGGGGGCCTTCTTAACAAAAAAAAGCAGTGAAGGGAGTGGAGGCTGTCAGACGCTTTTCCATCGCTCCTCACACCCAGCCGCTCGCCCCCTGTTTCTACCGGACGCCGGACTTTTGCTCTCTTCGGGTCCGGCGTCTCCCACAGACGGGCGGTTTTTCGGAGGGGGTTTGGACACCAAAATAAAAAACTCCAGGAGGCCGGCAGCGCGGAGGCGAGGTAGTAAAGGGCTGTTGAAGTGCACAGATGGGGGGGGGGGATCTCTGTTTGTTGTCATGGTAACAGGCAGTGTGGTCCGCACAACACGTCCCCGTAGAGCCCCGGATCCAGCGCAGCCCCTCTCCTCCATTTTGAACGTGGAGGCGCTGATCGTGCCGCAATTTTTTTTTACCGATTCGTCGGCGCTCCGACATCATACGAGACGCACGCACACACACACACACACACACACACACCTACACACATCAGCAGAGCTCATATGTAAGGCCGGGCTGTGGTAGATCGGGGTGTGCATGTGGGCTGCACAAATGGCCGATGAGTCACCGGATTCTCTTTTCGTGGCGTGTGGGATTTCAGTGCAGCCGCGCGTGAAGGTGAGAGAAACAGCCGCGACGTTTACTGTAAAGGGTGACGGCCGACCACGCGGGACTGTGGCAGCGTGACACGAGCAGCGCTGGGCGGCTCTCTGGGACTTGTAACGTGGTTACTGCACTGTAATACGGGACGAGCAGAGGCGCTGTGCAGGCCCGTTAAAGCCTGCACGACCAGCAGGATCCAGACCTTCATCCATTTAACTCTAACTTTATTCCCTTGTTGTATACTAACCCATAGCCTTATTCTACTAACCCATTTCATTAGCATTTCATTTTACTTTATTTTATTACTTGTGCACTGCTGTCTTGTTGTCTACTGTCGCGCACCAACCGCCAAGACAAATTTCTTGTATGTTTGACATATTTTGGCAATAAATGTTTCCTGATTCCTGAAACCGTAGCAGGATAATAGTGTCAGGGAATAACGAATGCTTTTATATTCAATCTTCTTTTAAAATGTGAAGCTTTGTGGGGTTTTAAAATCTTGTTTTCCCGAATCAAGTAACAGAAAAAAGATCAAATTTACAATGATTCACGAGAGCTGAGTTGCATTCTGATGAATTATTGGCTGTAGATGGACAATCGAGGGATTTGCATGTTCTCCCCCGTGGTTGTTGTGTTGATCCTTGTGCCGGCCGGCCTGAATCCACTACCCCCCCCCCCCTCATATAAGTGATGGAAACCTGAAACATGCTCCTCACATATAAAGTCTTGAATATTAATACTGGACCTAAAAAATAAAAAAAAACCTGCCAACTGACGGAATGAGGATTAACTTTTGCTCGGAAAAGGTGGGGGGGGATTAAAGCTTGGAATTAGAAACATACAGGAGGGTTTAGATTACGGTTCAGAGAGCGAGTGTCATCAGTGGAGGTGTGTGTGTGTGTGTGTGTGTGTGTGTGTGTGTGTGTGTGTGTGTGTGTCCGACTGATGGAGGCAGCATATGCATGCGCCCGCCATTAGCTCCTCACCCGCCCCCCCGCTGTGACCCGTGAGAAGTCCTCTCCGGTTGCCTGCTCGCCTCTCAGCGTGAAGCAACACCTTCTCCGATTCCCTCTGGGAAAATGCGGCCTAAATTAGCATCCATCTTTTTTCTTTTTTTTTTTTCAAATCTGTTTTTCCAGGCACAGAAATAGAATACAAATGGCTGGCAGGGAAACAAAAGCCCCCCCACACACACACACACACACACACATACTCATACTCACTCCCCCCCCCCCCCGTTCTCGGCCTGCGCCTGGTAACTCGGGCTTTGCGTGAAACGAGCATTGATAAATTTAGCCGCGCTTACATAACTCGGCCTGAATGAGGCAGGAAAAGACTTCGCTCTTCCTGCCGAGTGCTGTGAAGATAATGTCATAGGACTGTTTGTCAGACACACACACTCCACCTCCTCCGCCCCAACCTGCAGCCTCTACATGAATTATGCTCCACATAATTATCCTCACCCTTGTCTGTCTGTTTCGCTGCAAACTTCCAGCAGAGCACAGACGTCTGGTCGGAATGTTAATATTCCAAGAAGAATTTTCTCCTGAGCGGAGCTGTTTTACAAAAAAGCCCCCGACAGTAAGAAGAATAAACCCTGTCAGTTGTGCAGGATGTGTTCTTTTCCCTTCACTGCGTCCGGGGGGGGCCGGAGACGCTCCGACGCAGCGGAGCGCGGCGGTAAGAGACACCGACGAAGAGGAGGAGGAGGAGCCGCCCGCCTTCGCTCTGGATGGACGACCCCGAATCATCCACGGACCCATCCAGTGTATTATCCGGGAGACAAGAGAGGTTCTGTGTGGGGGGGGGAAGGGCAGATTGGGGGGCGGGGGGGGTCCGGTGTTTCTGGGGTCCTTGATCGGGTTCGCGAACCAATAAGCCGACGTTTGCACTCGATGTAAATCGAACTTAACAAAGCGCCTACAGCTCCTCAAGACGCCTTCAGAGACGTCAAGGTGAGTCTCCTCTAATGTCTCTTGTCCTGGTTTCGTTAGGACCCCTTGAAGCACCCGTTGGGTTGTTGGCTGTCGGTCCTCTCTGAGTGTGTCTCGTGGACTCGCCTCCTGCTGAAGGACGAGGGGAGTCAGAGACGGACAGACGTCGTCCCTTCAGCCCACTTCGCTGATCGAGCTCTGCTGAAAACGCGACGTCGAAGAATCGCCTCCCCGGGCTGCTCGACTCTCCTGACCTCCGGCCTCCACAGATGCTGCTTCTGAACGGCCGTCCACTTTAGTGGGGGGGGGGACGAGACGGTTTTCACCCTCTGTCCTCTTCTAATAACAAAGGTGTAGAACTAATCGCCAGCTGCTGGAGATATTGGGACAGAACGCGCTTTAAGGACCACGTGGGTTTAACAGTGAGGCGTAACAGACCAGATGGAGGCGAAGTTCCTAAATGCAAAGTGCCTTTTTATTTCGCAGTACACACGACGGCGGCGGCGGCGGCGTCAGTTGGGGAGCACGAGACCGCTGAGGCGCCTGTACAGCCGTTTAATACGACCGCAGAAGGTACAACGAAGGCCCCATAATAATAATCGTTTAAGAAGCAACCTCTTAATGGAGGATACAAAATAATATTAAACCTGTTCAAGATTTTTGGTCTTTTGGTCCAAATTCCAACGAGCAAAGTCAAAAGGATTCAAAACTGACGTCGACCTGCTGACAGCAGAAAAGATTGCCGGCTCCTGCAGGAAATCACGCCAAGAATTAGGAGTAACTTTTAATAAACTACCACACAAACCGTGTGTGGGTTAATTGCCGTTCGGCCAAAGCACACAGAGCGCCGCTGATTCATATCCACCAATAAGAACGGTGCAATTCCTCCCTCTGAAATCAGTACGGGCCTCAGGAAAGGTGCCGGTTGACAAACACTATTGACCTTTATTTTGAAAAAGGGCGGCTTTTCACCGCGCACACCTTGACCACCGCTCGCCCCCCGGGGTCCCTTTGGCCCCGTGACCCTCCTCGTCTAGACAAAAACCCAACAAAGATACACATCAAGTCCCTGCTGGCTGGGAGCTAAAAGTGAATAAATAAAATAAGCAAGTGGTTTATGGGCCCATGTGAAGCGCACAGTCCTTTCGGTGACGCCTTTGTCTGTGGGAACAAGATATTTGTAAATTGTATTGATTTATATAAAACATGCTTTTTAGCACTTCCTGCTGGTTTGAATTGTTCAGACGACTTAATGACTCCCCCTAAATGTGTTCATTTACCTATAAAGTGTTTAACATTTGTATTAGTTTTTAATACCGGCGTATTGTGACACCTGCGTGTGCGTCTTTTTGCATGCACATGTAACACTAAGAAATAAACATCAAGGCACAGAACCGGTCAAATGTAATCATTTAAAACGCCGGTCCACTGAACTACTTGTTTTTACATTTATGCAGCAAACAACCTGCCGAGGCGGCCAAAATGTTTTTTTTTCTCAGTGTGCAGTTTGTTTCATCAATGATGAAGAGGAGTTAGCGAGGAGGCCGGTGGGATTAGAGACTGATGGAGGAGAGCTGGCACGCCGCACGCGGGCCGGAGGCGGCGGCCCGCCTTCTGTTCGCCTCAATTGATCATCAGAGGAGACGGACTTGGCCGCAAGTCCAGGTCCCCAGACGGAGTGGACGTCTCCGCTGCTTTAGTGCACGGACCATCTAATGAGCTCTGGACCGGGTCTGCTTGTAAAAGTCCTAAATGTGCTCAAAGCCTCAGCTTTCAACCTGGTGCCCACAATCACAAACCCGATGCTTCTTCTGGGAACGAGAGGACATTTACACAAAAGAGTACCCATTGAAATACAAACCGAATGGAGGTAAAACTCGTACAGTCGTTCACTGAGGCTTTAAGGGGAAAGTATTTTGAACCTCACAGTCGTTTTTTCCATCTCGTATTGAGAAGCCAACGCCTGCACACCCGCTGAATGACCACAGACGCTGTAAAATGTTGCCTTTGAGTCATTTCATCGGAAAATAGACGAAGAAGGGAAGTAATGAATAAAACAAATAAATCCATCATGAAGTCCTGGTGGCGTACTGCTGGTATTTATGTTAAACTGCCAATACTCAACCCACCGTGGGCCATAGAGCTGCATGACGCAGTTCTTCTTGGTGCCCCTGCAATGCTTCATTCATGCATCATTAGTTATTTGTTTTATAATCACGTGGTAGTATTTGTTGTACACAGAAAACGGTCATACGTGAGGGACAATCGCGTATGTTGTGTACTTTGCTCGTCTTTGGCACACAAAAGAAGTTGTAGTTAGTCACAGTTACCAAAAACAAGACTTGTCAAAGGGGAAAATGCGACGTCACTAATGGGCTTTGTGTGTCTGAGCAGAATCACAAATATAGATGACGTGTGACAAAAAAAACAAAAAAATCAAGCAATCAAAACCTTCGATCTCTCATCGTGTCTCCTTTATTTTATTATTATCTTATTTATTTAGATTCTTAGTTTGTATAGGGTTTAAGTCTTAATATAGTGTCTCTTTAATTAATTTGTTCGTAGACGCAGAAAAATATGAATAATAATTATAATACATTATTATAATATAATAATTATATTATTATATTATTATTATAATTGTATAATATATTATTATTATTATAATATAATATTATTTTTATAATTGTATAATATATTATTATTATAATATAATAATATATTATTATAATAATAATATTATTATTATTATTATAAACGTGAACTTTTGCTCCGATAGAACCTTTGACCCCGGTTGGTGAGAATAAAAAGGCCTGAAGCGGCGCCCTCGGTGGGCTGACGTCACCCCGTGTGATTAGCCATGTGCTCCTGTTTACTCGGATCATCTGAGGACCCGACGGACGCCGAGCCGACGGAGAGGAACGTGATCCCGCTGCTCGTCACGGACATCGCACGTGTTGCTGCGGGGCTCCTCGCCGCCATGACTGAATTATGAAAGTCTAAAAACAACCGCGTGGCTCGCTGGAAGGTCGGCGACCTTGGCCGCGACTGCAGCGGTCACGGGAGCGGCTGCGAAAACATTTCGCTCTCTATATTCGTCACAACCAAAGTCCCCCGTTAATTTCCGCGCTTGTACTTCCTCCCCGCGGCATAAAAGAAATAAAGCCGCCCAGCGACACCTCGCCATGTCTAAAGGGGCCTATTGTTGAGAGGGATGATCTAAGGAACAGCTGCTCAGTTACTATATTTACACTGGGACTGATTGGGGGGGGGGGGGGGGCGCCTCGCCTCAGCACCTTCGGAGTCCCCCAACACGTCCCCCAGTACTTCCGTCCCCCGACACGGACCCCAATTTTCATTTTGATTGTCATTCAGTCTTTTCTCCAGTGTGACTTTGTTCCTCTTCTTCTTCTCCCCAAACTACGACAATATATTTACTTTTACTCTGCTTTCATCAGTTCAACCTTTCCTCTTCCACGCTGGGGGGGGGGGAGGGTCCGAGGCAGCTGACTGTGTGACCTCATCTGGCCACATGTGCAGACATGTGAGTGCGCTGCCGCTCCATAAAGCCCCTCCAGAAAGCTGTAAGACAACCAAAGAATCGCTGCGACTGCCCGACGCGCGCAGTTCGATCCGAGGCGGCTCTGAGGTCACTTTGGCGACAGGAGGTTTCAGAAACCAAGGCGATCATTTTGAACACTTGCGCGGCGAGGTGAGTGAAGGGGACGAGCTGACAGGCGACACACACACACACACACAGTCCATCGACGTGCAGCTGAGTGCTTTGTGAGGTCCTCAATAAAGACCATAAACATTAAAAGCGTTGATGCGAAGGCGAAGGGAAGATCGGCGGCAGGTAAACCGCTCAACGAACACGAGCCATCGCACTAAAGCAGACAAACGGCAGCGGGACGTTTTTATTCCCTTGGACCCTTCGAATTCGAGTCAAACTGTTTCCCGAGACACGTTAAAACGTTCTGACGTCGGCCTTTCTGCTTCGTCCTGAATCTGCATCAGACGGAAATGAGGATTAAATTCAGTGTTGCCCGCCACGACGTTAACATTACTGTTTTTCGAATTGCTTCCAGGCCTTTTGGAGGGTTCGATTCCTCGGGCTCATGCTGATGGGGCGTAGAGACGTGCTGAGGAAGGACACCGTAGGACACCACAGGAACATCACGCGGTGGTGAAGGAGACTTGAAACTGGGGAGATGGAGACCATGAACATCCATCACGGCTTCAGCGGTCTCGCCCGTGTTCCACGACGCGGAGAGCTGATGAAACGTGATCTCGCTGCAGCTCTGGATTCTCGTCACAGACGAAAGATTCCTTTGAGAGAAAGAAGCACAGATGACTCCATCTTCTTCGTTTCTCGACCGTCCGTCTTCATAACAATTACTTTGCGTCTGAGCATCTGCGATATTTCAAAAGACGCCTGGCGGGGGAATCAATAGATTGAAGCTCGACATAATTACATCATTAGAAGAACAGTGCGTGCAAAACGTTAGAGTGGTTCTGTGTCATTTAATTAGAAAGTCAATGAGGGATTTTGAATCCGTCTACGATGCTTCTTGTTCCTGCAAAACCAAAAAGGAAATGGACCATTGGATTTGGTTCCAGTCCATTCACTGCAGATCACCTGCTCCTGGTTTTTCACAGCAAGCTTTGGGATGGAGAAGGTGCTCCTGCAGAACACCAGCACATCCACCTACAGTGTGGCGACGCTGTTTCATCGCCTATTGCATTTTGGTCTTTGATATGTGTCTTTAGAACATTTATAATGCTGAGGCCCTTTGTGTTGGTCTCCTCCGCACTGCTGTTTGTGAATAAACGCGTCCGTGTGCATTCGTGGTTGTTTCCCGCTGAAACCTTGACTCTGAACTGAAGTGAACCTCGCGTTGCCGTGGAGACGGCCTTGATGACATGAGGCTCAGTGGCTGTTTTAGTGTCAATCAACGGCTGGATTTGACACACGGGACAACATGACGTGTTTGGGTCAACAACAAACACACACTCCTTTTCTATCACGCCGGCTGCGCACAAAGTGCACGAGAAGCTCAACAGAACTTTCAACACATCGACCGTGGTGACATTTCGTCTCGCGCTGCATCATGTGTTTGTAAAAATGGTACATTTGATTTGATCCATTGATGGGAGGAGATCAATAGTCAATATACAGAAACTAATTAAAAAGAGTCTCAGTGCTTTAGTTGGAGGCCTCACTGGGTGACCTCATGAACCCGTTAAGCACGTCTCAATTATCGAAATGGCACGTTGTGTTTCCCTCCATAGGACCCCCCCCCCGTCCCCCCGTCCCTGCATAGAATAAGACATAGAATGTCGTCTACGTCTTTGGACCGAGTGAACCTTGAAAACGTTTCAGCTTTGACAGGTTCGTACAACCGTGTCGAGTCCCATCCAGCTCAGAGGATGTTGTGTAGCCCCCCCCCCGCCTCCCGCCCACCCCGCCACCGAGTCAGTTAGCGAGCTCGTTACATCGTTACATCACCGCTTGGCGCCCGCCCTGATGACACCTCCCCGGGGAGTAGAGGTCGGCCCACTGTGGCAGCTTCTACAGTTCAGACGTTAATGCAACGAGCAGAAAAAAGCGTCTCCGCTGTGATCGAAGGCCGCAAAACTGCAACCACCCTCCTACCCCCCCGCCCCCGCCACACCCCCCCCCCCTCCCCCCACCGCAGTGGACACACGAGTCACTCATGCAGCCAAACGAGCGTCTGGCTACAGCGTCCTTGTCGAGGCGGACGGGACGAGGGCACGCGGGCGTGGGGACATTGGGGGCGCTGAGCTGCAAACTGAATGAAAGTGAGCAGGAGAGACAGACGGGGAGGGGCGGGGGGACACGGCGGGCGAGAGAGACGGAGATGGTGGGAGGCGCCTGCCCCACGCACTCCACGTCCACGTGTCGCCCCCTCCCCGATGAATCACCCCGTGACCCACAGCCGAGCGCTGGCTTCACAGACCGTTCAGTAGACATCATCGGTCGGCTCCTCTTGTTTTTGGCTGATCGGTGACACAACATGGAATGTGATTCACTCCTAAATGTCAAAGTGTTCCTCAGCTGGCAGCTTTCTCCCCCTCACTTTGCTCTGGCTCCGATGTCTCGCCGGCCTTGAACCCGTGAACCACATTCATAACGTTAGCAGACTTGGAGGCAGATCGAGGAGGGAACAAATGACCATTTCCCGACTAACTCGACCCAAATGTCCGTTGACCCGGCGGCCCTCGGCCCCGCGGAGAGACGCGCGGCTCATGTTGAACCGCTGAGGAAAGGAGCGCTGAGCCTCAGGACGCGGAGCCGATCGCTCTCGCGTCACGACCGCGGAATTGTGATAATGAGGCGCCCGTGGATGTGGAGTGACACACTGAGCCCCCCCCCCCCCCCGGCCCCCCCGAGGCGCCGCCGAAGTGCATGCACATGCATGTCTTCGTGTGACTGCATGGGTCGGTGCACCGCGCGCTCCTCGAAAGTCAATTTCCTGCTCCACAAGGGCCGGTGGGGGGGGGGGCTGAATGGAGGCTGAAATGGGGCTTGAGGCAGAAAAAAGGGGGAGGTGAAGAAAGACGCGGGGGCGACCCTGATGGAAAAACCCAGATGGAAGCCGGGAGGTACCAAATCTTTTCGGGGAAAGGAAGACCATTTATTATTAAGTTGATTACCTGGCGCGCGGTTTGATGCCGACATGGGGGACCCTGTGGACACAAGTGTCACATTGTCACTTCCCCCCCTTGTTCCCCCTTCTACATTTCTTATAGCGTGCACGGGGGGAACTGGAGATGACACTCTTCACCCCCGGGGGCGAGCAATGAAGGTGTCGGCGGCTCTGCTTGTCGATTGACGCTCTACAGGCATTTCCTCAACACCCATAAGAAGATGCTCCGCCCGTTCCTTAAGCCAACCGGGAGGCTGCGCGCTGCGTAGGACAAGGAAGACAAGCTTTTATTCACCCCCCTCCGGCGACCGCCCGGGACGGAAGGCCCAGAGGACAGATGCTAGTAGTGCGGCGACCCTCTTTAACTCCAGCAGGGTTTATTTAACGCGGGCCCCGGAGACACGTTATG